TCAAGACCGATTTACGTTTCCAGAGTTCGGCTGTGATGGCTCTGCAAGAAGCTAGCGAAGCCTACCTGGTTGGCCTATTTGAAGACACGAACTTGTGTGCTATCCATGCTAAGCGTGTCACCATCATGCCCAAAGATATCCAACTGGCCAGACGCATTCGTGGCGAACGTGCTTAAATTGTAAATTGTAAAGCATCAATTGTAACCAAATCGGTCCTTTTCAGGACCACAAAATACTTTCAACAAAGAGATTTGAGTTTTCATAAATAATATTTGAATGAATAATTCAGCTATTCAGGCTTTAAAAAACGTTTAAATATAATTAGGAAATATTACAGAAGATAATTATTGCGAAATGTTTTACTCAATATACATAAATATATTATTTACTGTATTACAATCAGTATGTAAATAGCAAAGCAAGAAAAGCAGTAAATGTTTTTCGAATTGCAATTACAATAATGGATTCCCTTTTGAAGAAATGTATATAAATAAAGATTCAAGTTGCACATCTAATGTGTTGCTCGTGATTATATTACTTTCAATTTTGATGTGAACATGCAGTTCATATAATATTTTCTCATTCGATCCGATATATATGTTTCTTTAGAGAGACATGTCGTAATCTGATAGTCAACAATGATATAAATAAAGAATAATGTGACTTTTAATAAGTTGCTCGCTTGATACGAGTATTGTGGTCATCTGGATGTTGCATGTACCATTCATCTGTAATCGTTTGATTTTGGTATTACAATAATTATCAAACAGATGTAACTGAAGTTAATATACATGTAATATATAAAATAAGTAGGTATTAATTATTCAAGAAGAATTTATATGTTTTCGATACATTTTTCTCTTGTTGCTTGCACTCCAAGCTAGTCAATTTTTTACAGCAAATGGCCAAGTTAAAAGCATGTTTAAAAAATGATTTAATCACTTCTATTCTTTTTAACTATTGTGTTTCAGTAAAGAAAAGTTTAAATAATACAATTAATATTATAATTTTCTAAATTTTGTTGTAATTATATTAAAAAGAGTTGTTTTTCACTAACAAATGTTGCGTGATGGAACAAATCGAGACTTTGCACGACTTCCACGACTCGGTGATTTAAGATAATAAATTCAAATCTATTATATTTAGTTGCTCAAATATTTTAAACATTATCCACATTTACATTCTTTTCTATTTGCAAATAAATCGATTGTAAATGGCAAATTAACAATAAGACGTTGGCAATCTTTCACATGACAAACGTTCAATGCCGTAAACATTCTCGTTCGGCTCTCCTCCTCGATTCTCACTCAATCGAGTGACCAAATAGCATGGTGAGTTTCAGCAAATTTGTACCATTAAAGTGTAAATCGTTGTGAAAGTGAACTAAAGTGAAATATGTCTGATTCAGCAGTTGCCACAATCGCCTCTCCCGTGACTGCCACACCAGCTGCAGCCGAGAAGAAGGTGGCCACCAAGAAGGCAGCATCAGGATTGAAGGCAAAGAGGACAACAGCTGGAGCATCACACCCGCCAACTCAGCAAATGGTAGATGCTTCGATAAAAAACTTGAAGGAGCGTGGTGGCTCATCGCTTCTGGCAATTAAGAAATACATTAGTGCCACCTACAAGTGCGATGCCCAGAAACTAGCACCGTTCATTAAGAAGTACTTGAGGACTGCAGTTGCAAGTGGAAAGCTGGTCCAAACAAAGGGCAAGGGTGCATCTGGTTCGTTTAAACTGTCTGCATCAGCCAAAAAAGAGCCGAAGCCAAAGGCTTCTCCTCTGGAGAAGAAAACCACAGCAGCATCAGCAGCAGCAGCAGCTAAAAAGAAGAAATCAGCTACAGTTGACAAGAAGAAGCCATCAAAGGTAGCCACCGCCAGCAAAAAGAGCGCTGAGAAATCGAAGGCAGATAAGGCAAAAGCAAAAGCAAAGGCAAAGGCAGTAGCAAAGGATGCTAAGAAAACGGGTACAGTAAAGGCTAAACCCACCACAGCAGATGCAAAAGCAAAGGCAAAGGCCAAACAAAGCGCAGCAAAGGCAAAGACGCCAAAGCCCAAGACACAAGCCACAAGTGCTAAGCCAAAGCAGGCAAAGGCAGTAGCAAAGCCAGCGACACCGAAAAAAGCTTCTGCCAAGAAGCCGAAGGCCGCCAAGAAGTAAAAAAACACTCTTAATCAGAGTAGAAGTGAAATTCGGAATTTCTTAATTGTGAAATTCGCCTTCGCATTTTAACAAAGCCCTTTTCAGGGCTACAATTTATGTATTTTTAAAGAGAGAAAAATATTTCCAGACTTATTCAGTATCTGTTTTTGCTTTAAAGACTATTTCCATATATTTGTTGCACACTTCGTAAGAATATTTATTTTGTGTGTTAATAAGACTAATTTACTTTCTCCGCGTACTTTATTCGTTGTGGGAACTAAAAAAAGGTAATTTTGCAGTTGATTTTTATTTCATTAAAAGTCCAGCTAAAATATACTCTGATTGTGAGTAATTTGCGGCATCAATAGAATAGAATATGAAAATTAGTTTATTAAGTTGCTTCACCAGTAATGGAAAAATATTTTGAATTCTTTGAAAGGAATGATTTGTGGCCCTGAAAAGGGCCTTTTGCTGCTAGCTGCTCGCTGGTATTTCTGCCTGCAATTTACTTGGAGCTAGTGTACTTGGTGACTGCTTTGGTTCCCTCACTGACGGCGTGCTTAGCCAACTCTCCGGGCAGTAAAAGACGGACAGCGGTTTGGATTTCCCGACTTGTGATGGTTGAACGTTTGTTGTAGTGGGCCAAACGAGATGCCTCGGCAGCAATACGCTCAAAAATATCATTCACGAAGCTGTTCATGATGCTCATTGCCTTTGACGAAATGCCAGTGTCAGGATGGACCTGCTTCAACACTTTGTAAATGTAGATGGCATAGCTTTCCTTCCTCTTGCGCTTCTTCTTCTTGTCATTCTTGGTGATGTTCTTTTGAGCCTTGCCAGCCTTTTTGGCTGCCTTTCCACTAGTTTTCGGCGGCATTCTTAATACTTATTCACTTCACTTTGATTAACTTCACAAATGTGTGTTCAGCACACCGAAAATGCTTATCATATATACTTTCGTTTGAACGACGCTTTCATGTTAAAATCCACCACTGCGCTCGAATTACTGCGCAGCTGTTCATTCCTAACCTGACAAAGTAGGTAGCTGAAAAACTATAAATACAATGACGGCTTGTTTGTCGGAATCATTCGGTATTTGATATTTGTGTGTTGAGAGTGACTAATTTGTGAACTAAATAGCAATGTCTGGTCGTGGTAAAGGTGGAAAAGTAAAGGGAAAGGCAAAGTCGCGTTCCAACCGCGCTGGACTCCAGTTTCCCGTGGGTCGTATTCACCGTCTTCTTCGCAAGGGCAACTACGCCGAGCGTGTTGGTGCCGGTGCTCCTGTGTACTTAGCTGCCGTTATGGAATACTTGGCCGCTGAAGTCTTGGAGTTGGCTGGCAATGCTGCTCGTGATAATAAGAAAACTAGGATTATCCCTCGCCATCTGCAATTGGCCATCCGCAACGATGAAGAGTTAAATAAACTGCTTTCGGGCGTTACCATTGCGCAGGGTGGTGTTTTACCCAACATCCAGGCAGTTCTACTCCCCAAGAAGACGGAAAAGAAGGCATAAACTACCAGACTACTCTCAAATAGCATGTACATATGTAAAAAAAAAAAACTCAATCAAACGTCCTTTTCAGGACGACCAAAATATGTAAAAGAGATTTAATTTTTCATTGACTATATTTGAATTCCCACGGTCGAAAAACGAAAAGAGAAATGTAAGAAAAGTACAGTTGGTGTCAAAACAGTATCATCTACCTGAGGAGTAAGGGTATTTCCTACTTTTTGCTCTTCGCTGTGAATTGTGTTTTTTTTTTACTTACATTCACCGATAGACTCCTTAATATAACATTTCTTTTAATTTTTAATGTAAATTTAAAAATGAAATTTTATTTAATTAATTTGCTACATTTAGTAACTTTCTGCTGAAATTAAATAAATACACAGTAGCGTATTCTTGGCTGACGCTTCACTTGCTTTTTAAGTGGATGTGATGTGTGTGATGCCATAAAAGCAAATATTAAGCGCATGACATTTGCCAACGACCATACTACGCTGAATACATCGGTTCTCGTCCGATCACCGAAATTAAGCAGCGTCGGGCGCGGTTAGTACTTAGATGGGGGACCGCTTGGGAACACCGCGTGTTGTTGGCATCTATTTGGTGTTTCAACACTTTTTTTGTTAAATTATTTGTATTTTATAAAGCAAATGCTAAATAAAAGTATATTTCAGGTGCATATTACTTGGCTAGATATTGAATATTTTTCATCTCTTTTGAGTAAAGATTTGGTGGTCCTGAAAAGGACCGATTGGTATGACTGTACTTGTACATATTTGTATTTGGGATTTAGTTTTTAGCCGCCAAAACCGTATAGGGTACGGCCTTGTCTCTTCAGCGCATAGACAACATCCATGGCAGTGACCGTCTTCCTCTTGGCATGCTCGGTGTATGTGACCGCATCGCGGATAACGTTTTCCAAGAATACCTTTAGAACACCACGAGTTTCTTCATAAATGAGTCCTGAGATACGTTTCACACCACCACGACGAGCTAAACGACGAATAGCTGGCTTCGTGATGCCCTGGATGTTATCACGCAACACTTTGCGATGACGTTTAGCGCCGCCTTTACCCAAACCTTTGCCACCTTTACCACGACCAGTCATTTTTCACTTTTAATTCACACTTTACACCACGAATGCCAGAAACAAAGTAATGCTGCTTCGTCGCAAGCGCTTCTATTTATACCAAAAAGAGCAAACTCTTGAGCGAGTGCACAGATATTTCTATCCCGCTCACACACTACCCTCGCTTAACGAGCAGTTTTCTATATAAACGAGCAGCAAACCAGCGGACGATTATTGTGTTTTCAACAGTGAGAGTGTAAACAGTGTTATAGAAAGAGAAAAATGGCGCGTACTAAGCAGACTGCTCGTAAATCGACGGGAGGCAAGGCTCCTCGCAAACAGTTGGCAACTAAGGCAGCACGTAAAAGTGCTCCAGCAACCGGTGGTGTGAAGAAACCTCATCGCTATCGTCCCGGTACAGTTGCACTGCGTGAAATTCGTCGCTACCAGAAGAGCACAGAGTTGCTTATCCGCAAGCTGCCGTTCCAGCGTTTAGTACGCGAAATTGCTCAGGACTTCAAGACCGATTTACGTTTCCAGAGTTCGGCTGTGATGGCTCTGCAAGAAGCTAGCGAAGCCTACCTGGTTGGCCTATTTGAAGACACGAACTTGTGTGCTATCCATGCTAAGCGTGTCACCATCATGCCCAAAGATATCCAACTGGCCAGACGCATTCGTGGCGAACGTGCTTAAATTGTAAATTGTAAAGCATCAATTGTAACCAAATCGGTCCTTTTCAGGACCACAAAATACTTTCAACAAAGAGATTTGAGTTTTCATAAATAATATTTGAATGAATAATTCAGCTATTCAGGCTTTAAAAAACGTTTAAATATAATTAGGAAATATTACAGAAGATAATTATTGCGAAATGTTTTACTCAATATACATAAATATATTATTTACTGTATTACAATCAGTATGTAAATAGCAAAGCAAGAAAAGCAGTAAATGTTTTTCGAATTGCAATTACAATAATGGATTCCCTTTTGAAGAAATGTATATAAATAAAGATTCAAGTTGCACATCTAATGTGTTGCTCGTGATTATATTACTTTCAATTTTGATGTGAACATGCAGTTCATATAATATTTTCTCATTCGATCCGATATATATGTTTCTTTAGAGAGACATGTCGTAATCTGATAGTCAACAATGATATAAATAAAGAATAATGTGACTTTTAATAAGTTGCTCGCTTGATACGAGTATTGTGGTCATCTGGATGTTGCATGTACCATTCATCTGTAATCGTTTGATTTTGGTATTACAATAATTATCAAACAGATGTAACTGAAGTTAATATACATGTAATATATAAAATAAGTAGGTATTAATTATTCAAGAAGAATTTATATGTTTTCGATACATTTTTCTCTTGTTGCTTGCACTCCAAGCTAGTCAATTTTTTACAGCAAATGGCCAAGTTAAAAGCATGTTTAAAAAATGATTTAATCACTTCTATTCTTTTTAACTATTGTGTTTCAGTAAAGAAAAGTTTAAATAATACAATTAATATTATAATTTTCTAAATTTTGTTGTAATTATATTAAAAAGAGTTGTTTTTCACTAACAAATGTTGCGTGATGGAACAAATCGAGACTTTGCACGACTTCCACGACTCGGTGATTTAAGATAATAAATTCAAATCTATTATATTTAGTTGCTCAAATATTTTAAACATTATCCACATTTACATTCTTTTCTATTTGCAAATAAATCGATTGTAAATGGCAAATTAACAATAAGACGTTGGCAATCTTTCACATGACAAACGTTCAATGCCGTAAACATTCTCGTTCGGCTCTCCTCCTCGATTCTCACTCAATCGAGTGACCAAATAGCATGGTGAGTTTCAGCAAATTTGTACCATTAAAGTGTAAATCGTTGTGAAAGTGAACTAAAGTGAAATATGTCTGATTCAGCAGTTGCCACAATCGCCTCTCCCGTGACTGCCACACCAGCTGCAGCCGAGAAGAAGGTGGCCACCAAGAAGGCAGCATCAGGATTGAAGGCAAAGAGGACAACAGCTGGAGCATCACACCCGCCAACTCAGCAAATGGTAGATGCTTCGATAAAAAACTTGAAGGAGCGTGGTGGCTCATCGCTTCTGGCAATTAAGAAATACATTAGTGCCACCTACAAGTGCGATGCCCAGAAACTAGCACCGTTCATTAAGAAGTACTTGAGGACTGCAGTTGCAAGTGGAAAGCTGGTCCAAACAAAGGGCAAGGGTGCATCTGGTTCGTTTAAACTGTCTGCATCAGCCAAAAAAGAGCCGAAGCCAAAGGCTTCTCCTCTGGAGAAGAAAACCACAGCAGCATCAGCAGCAGCAGCAGCTAAAAAGAAGAAATCAGCTACAGTTGACAAGAAGAAGCCATCAAAGGTAGCCACCGCCAGCAAAAAGAGCGCTGAGAAATCGAAGGCAGATAAGGCAAAAGCAAAAGCAAAGGCAAAGGCAGTAGCAAAGGATGCTAAGAAAACGGGTACAGTAAAGGCTAAACCCACCACAGCAGATGCAAAAGCAAAGGCAAAGGCCAAACAAAGCGCAGCAAAGGCAAAGACGCCAAAGCCCAAGACACAAGCCACAAGTGCTAAGCCAAAGCAGGCAAAGGCAGTAGCAAAGCCAGCGACACCGAAAAAAGCTTCTGCCAAGAAGCCGAAGGCCGCCAAGAAGTAAAAAAACACTCTTAATCAGAGTAGAAGTGAAATTCGGAATTTCTTAATTGTGAAATTCGCCTTCGCATTTTAACAAAGCCCTTTTCAGGGCTACAATTTATGTATTTTTAAAGAGAGAAAAATATTTCCAGACTTATTCAGTATCTGTTTTTGCTTTAAAGACTATTTCCATATATTTGTTGCACACTTCGTAAGAATATTTATTTTGTGTGTTAATAAGACTAATTTACTTTCTCCGCGTACTTTATTCGTTGTGGGAACTAAAAAAAGGTAATTTTGCAGTTGATTTTTATTTCATTAAAAGTCCAGCTAAAATATACTCTGATTGTGAGTAATTTGCGGCATCAATAGAATAGAATATGAAAATTAGTTTATTAAGTTGCTTCACCAGTAATGGAAAAATATTTTGAATTCTTTGAAAGGAATGATTTGTGGCCCTGAAAAGGGCCTTTTGCTGCTAGCTGCTCGCTGGTATTTCTGCCTGCAATTTACTTGGAGCTAGTGTACTTGGTGACTGCTTTGGTTCCCTCACTGACGGCGTGCTTAGCCAACTCTCCGGGCAGTAAAAGACGGACAGCGGTTTGGATTTCCCGACTTGTGATGGTTGAACGTTTGTTGTAGTGGGCCAAACGAGATGCCTCGGCAGCAATACGCTCAAAAATATCATTCACGAAGCTGTTCATGATGCTCATTGCCTTTGACGAAATGCCAGTGTCAGGATGGACCTGCTTCAACACTTTGTAAATGTAGATGGCATAGCTTTCCTTCCTCTTGCGCTTCTTCTTCTTGTCATTCTTGGTGATGTTCTTTTGAGCCTTGCCAGCCTTTTTGGCTGCCTTTCCACTAGTTTTCGGCGGCATTCTTAATACTTATTCACTTCACTTTGATTAACTTCACAAATGTGTGTTCAGCACACCGAAAATGCTTATCATATATACTTTCGTTTGAACGACGCTTTCATGTTAAAATCCACCACTGCGCTCGAATTACTGCGCAGCTGTTCATTCCTAACCTGACAAAGTAGGTAGCTGAAAAACTATAAATACAATGACGGCTTGTTTGTCGGAATCATTCGGTATTTGATATTTGTGTGTTGAGAGTGACTAATTTGTGAACTAAATAGCAATGTCTGGTCGTGGTAAAGGTGGAAAAGTAAAGGGAAAGGCAAAGTCGCGTTCCAACCGCGCTGGACTCCAGTTTCCCGTGGGTCGTATTCACCGTCTTCTTCGCAAGGGCAACTACGCCGAGCGTGTTGGTGCCGGTGCTCCTGTGTACTTAGCTGCCGTTATGGAATACTTGGCCGCTGAAGTCTTGGAGTTGGCTGGCAATGCTGCTCGTGATAATAAGAAAACTAGGATTATCCCTCGCCATCTGCAATTGGCCATCCGCAACGATGAAGAGTTAAATAAACTGCTTTCGGGCGTTACCATTGCGCAGGGTGGTGTTTTACCCAACATCCAGGCAGTTCTACTCCCCAAGAAGACGGAAAAGAAGGCATAAACTACCAGACTACTCTCAAATAGCATGTACATATGTAAAAAAAAAAAACTCAATCAAACGTCCTTTTCAGGACGACCAAAATATGTAAAAGAGATTTAATTTTTCATTGACTATATTTGAATTCCCACGGTCGAAAAACGAAAAGAGAAATGTAAGAAAAGTACAGTTGGTGTCAAAACAGTATCATCTACCTGAGGAGTAAGGGTATTTCCTACTTTTTGCTCTTCGCTGTGAATTGTGTTTTTTTTTTTACTTACATTCACCGATAGACTCCTTAATATAACATTTCTTTTAATTTTTAATGTAAATTTAAAAATGAAATTTTATTTAATTAATTTGCTACATTTAGTAACTTTCTGCTGAAATTAAATAAATACACAGTAGCGTATTCTTGGCTGACGCTTCACTTGCTTTTTAAGTGGATGTGATGTGTGTGATGCCATAAAAGCAAATATTAAGCGCATGACATTTGCCAACGACCATACTACGCTGAATACATCGGTTCTCGTCCGATCACCGAAATTAAGCAGCGTCGGGCGCGGTTAGTACTTAGATGGGGGACCGCTTGGGAACACCGCGTGTTGTTGGCATCTATTTGGTGTTTCAACACTTTTTTTGTTAAATTATTTGTATTTTATAAAGCAAATGCTAAATAAAAGTATATTTCAGGTGCATATTACTTGGCTAGATATTGAATATTTTTCATCTCTTTTGAGTAAAGATTTGGTGGTCCTGAAAAGGACCGATTGGTATGACTGTACTTGTACATATTTGTATTTGGGATTTAGTTTTTAGCCGCCAAAACCGTATAGGGTACGGCCTTGTCTCTTCAGCGCATAGACAACATCCATGGCAGTGACCGTCTTCCTCTTGGCATGCTCGGTGTATGTGACCGCATCGCGGATAACGTTTTCCAAGAATACCTTTAGAACACCACGAGTTTCTTCATAAATGAGTCCTGAGATACGTTTCACACCACCACGACGAGCTAAACGACGAATAGCTGGCTTCGTGATGCCCTGGATGTTATCACGCAACACTTTGCGATGACGTTTAGCGCCGCCTTTACCCAAACCTTTGCCACCTTTACCACGACCAGTCATTTTTCACTTTTAATTCACACTTTACACCACGAATGCCAGAAACAAAGTAATGCTGCTTCGTCGCAAGCGCTTCTATTTATACCAAAAAGAGCAAACTCTTGAGCGAGTGCACAGATATTTCTATCCCGCTCACACACTACCCTCGCTTAACGAGCAGTTTTCTATATAAACGAGCAGCAAACCAGCGGACGATTATTGTGTTTTCAACAGTGAGAGTGTAAACAGTGTTATAGAAAGAGAAAAATGGCGCGTACTAAGCAGACTGCTCGTAAATCGACGGGAGGCAAGGCTCCTCGCAAACAGTTGGCAACTAAGGCAGCACGTAAAAGTGCTCCAGCAACCGGTGGTGTGAAGAAACCTCATCGCTATCGTCCCGGTACAGTTGCACTGCGTGAAATTCGTCGCTACCAGAAGAGCACAGAGTTGCTTATCCGCAAGCTGCCGTTCCAGCGTTTAGTACGCGAAATTGCTCAGGACTTCAAGACCGATTTACGTTTCCAGAGTTCGGCTGTGATGGCTCTGCAAGAAGCTAGCGAAGCCTACCTGGTTGGCCTATTTGAAGACACGAACTTGTGTGCTATCCATGCTAAGCGTGTCACCATCATGCCCAAAGATATCCAACTGGCCAGACGCATTCGTGGCGAACGTGCTTAAATTGTAAATTGTAAAGCATCAATTGTAACCAAATCGGTCCTTTTCAGGACCACAAAATACTTTCAACAAAGAGATTTGAGTTTTCATAAATAATATTTGAATGAATAATTCAGCTATTCAGGCTTTAAAAAACGTTTAAATATAATTAGGAAATATTACAGAAGATAATTATTGCGAAATGTTTTACTCAATATACATAAATATATTATTTACTGTATTACAATCAGTATGTAAATAGCAAAGCAAGAAAAGCAGTAAATGTTTTTCGAATTGCAATTACAATAATGGATTCCCTTTTGAAGAAATGTATATAAATAAAGATTCAAGTTGCACATCTAATGTGTTGCTCGTGATTATATTACTTTCAATTTTGATGTGAACATGCAGTTCATATAATATTTTCTCATTCGATCCGATATATATGTTTCTTTAGAGAGACATGTCGTAATCTGATAGTCAACAATGATATAAATAAAGAATAATGTGACTTTTAATAAGTTGCTCGCTTGATACGAGTATTGTGGTCATCTGGATGTTGCATGTACCATTCATCTGTAATCGTTTGATTTTGGTATTACAATAATTATCAAACAGATGTAACTGAAGTTAATATACATGTAATATATAAAATAAGTAGGTATTAATTATTCAAGAAGAATTTATATGTTTTCGATACATTTTTCTCTTGTTGCTTGCACTCCAAGCTAGTCAATTTTTTACAGCAAATGGCCAAGTTAAAAGCATGTTTAAAAAATGATTTAATCACTTCTATTCTTTTTAACTATTGTGTTTCAGTAAAGAAAAGTTTAAATAATACAATTAATATTATAATTTTCTAAATTTTGTTGTAATTATATTAAAAAGAGTTGTTTTTCACTAACAAATGTTGCGTGATGGAACAAATCGAGACTTTGCACGACTTCCACGACTCGGTGATTTAAGATAATAAATTCAAATCTATTATATTTAGTTGCTCAAATATTTTAAACATTATCCACATTTACATTCTTTTCTATTTGCAAATAAATCGATTGTAAATGGCAAATTAACAATAAGACGTTGGCAATCTTTCACATGACAAACGTTCAATGCCGTAAACATTCTCGTTCGGCTCTCCTCCTCGATTCTCACTCAATCGAGTGACCAAATAGCATGGTGAGTTTCAGCAAATTTGTACCATTAAAGTGTAAATCGTTGTGAAAGTGAACTAAAGTGAAATATGTCTGATTCAGCAGTTGCCACAATCGCCTCTCCCGTGACTGCCACACCAGCTGCAGCCGAGAAGAAGGTGGCCACCAAGAAGGCAGCATCAGGATTGAAGGCAAAGAGGACAACAGCTGGAGCATCACACCCGCCAACTCAGCAAATGGTAGATGCTTCGATAAAAAACTTGAAGGAGCGTGGTGGCTCATCGCTTCTGGCAATTAAGAAATACATTAGTGCCACCTACAAGTGCGATGCCCAGAAACTAGCACCGTTAATTAAGAAGTACTTGAGGACTGCAGTTGCAAGTGGAAAGCTGGTCCAAACAAAGGGCAAGGGTGCATCTGGTTCGTTTAAACTGTCTGCATCAGCCAAAAAAGAGCCGAAGCCAAAGGCTTCTCCTCTGGAGAAGAAAACCACAGCAGCATCAGCAGCAGCAGCAGCTAAAAAGAAGAAATCAGCTACAGTTGACAAGAAGAAGCCATCAAAGGTAGCCACCGCCAGCAAAAAGAGCGCTGAGAAATCGAAGGCAGATAAGGCAAAAGCAAAAGCAAAGGCAAAGGCAGTAGCAAAGGATGCTAAGAAAACGGGTACAGTAAAGGCTAAACCCACCACAGCAGATGCAAAAGCAAAGGCAAAGGCCAAACAAAGCGCAGCAAAGGCAAAGACGCCAAAGCCCAAGACACAAGCCACAAGTGCTAAGCCAAAGCAGGCAAAGGCAGTAGCAAAGCCAGCGACACCGAAAAAAGCTTCTGCCAAGAAGCCGAAGGCCGCCAAGAAGTAAAAAAACACTCTTAATCAGAGTAGAAGTGAAATTCGGAATTTCTTAATTGTGAAATTCGCCTTCGCATTTTAACAAAGCCCTTTTCAGGGCTACAATTTATGTATTTTTAAAGAGAGAAAAATATTTCCAGACTTATTCAGTATCTGTTTTTGCTTTAAAGACTATTTCCATATATTTGTTGCACACTTCGTAAGAATATTTATTTTGTGTGTTAATAAGACTAATTTACTTTCTCCGCGTACTTTATTCGTTGTGGGAACTAAAAAAAGGTAATTTTGCAGTTGATTTTTATTTCATTAAAAGTCCAGCTAAAATATACTCTGATTGTGAGTAATTTGCGGCATCAATAGAATAGAATATGAAAATTAGTTTATTAAGTTGCTTCACCAGTAATGGAAAAATATTTTGAATTCTTTGAAAGGAATGATTTGTGGCCCTGAAAAGGGCCTTTTGCTGCTAGCTGATCGCTGGTATTTCTGCCTGCAATTTACTTGGAGCTAGTGTACTTGGTGACTGCTTTGGTTCCCTCACTGACGGCGTGCTTAGCCAACTCTCCGGGCAGTAAAAGACGGACAGCGGTTTGGATTTCCCGACTTGTGATGGTTGAACGTTTGTTGTAGTGGGCCAAACGAGATGCCTCGGCAGCAATACGCTCAAAAATATCATTCACGAAGCTGTTCATGATGCTCATTGCCTTTGACGAAATGCCAGTGTCAGGATGGACCTGCTTCAACACTTTGTAAATGTAGATGGCATAGCTTTCCTTCCTCTTGCGCTTCTTCTTCTTGTCATTCTTGGTAATGTTCTTTTGAGCCTTGCCAGCCTTTTTGGCTGCCTTTCCACTAGTTTTCGGCGGCATACTTAATACTTATTCACTTCACTTTGATTAACTTCACAAATGTGTGTTCAGCACACCGAAAATGCTTATCATATATACTTTCGTTTGAACGACGCTTTCATGTTAAAATCCACCACTGCGCTCGAAAATACTGCGCAGCTGTTCATTCCTAACCTGAAGAAGTAGGTAGCTGAAAAACTATAAATACAATGACGGCTTGTTTGTCGGAATCATTCGGTATTTGATATTTGTGTGTTGAGAGTGAATAATTTGTGAACTAAATAACAATGTCTGGTCGTGGTAAAGGTGGAAAAGTAAAGGGAAAGGCAAAGTCGCGTTCCAACCGCGCTGGACTCCAGTTTCCCGTGGGTCGTATTCACCGTCTTCTTCGCAAGGGCAACTACGCCGAGCGTGTTGGTGCCGGTGCTCCTGTGTACTTAGCTGCCGTTATGGAATACTTGGCCGCTGAAGTCTTGGAGTTGGCTGGCAATGCTGCTCGTGATAATAAGAAAACTAGGATTATCCCTCGCCATCTGCAATTGGCCATCCGCAACGATGAAGAGTTAAATAAACTGCTTTCGGGCGTTACCATTGCGCAGGGTGGTGTTTTACCCAACATCCAGGCAGTTCTACTCCCCAAGAAGACGGAAAAGAAGGCATAAACTACCAGACTACTCTCAAATAGCATGTACATATGTAAAAAAAAAAACTCAATCAAACGTCCTTTTCAGGACGACCAAAATATGTAAAAGAGATTTAATTTTTCATTAACTATATTTGAATTCCCACGGTCGAAAAACGAAAAGAGAAATGTAAGAAAAGTACAGTTGGTGTCAAAACAGTATCATCTACCTGAGGAGTAAGGGTATTTCCTACTTTTTGCTCTTCGCTGTGAATTGTGGTTTTTTTTTTTACTTACATTCACCGATAGACTCCTTAATATAACATTTCTTTTAATTTTTAATGTAAATTTAAAAATGAAATTTTATTTAATTAATTTGCTACATTTAGTAACTTTCTGCTGAAATTAACTAAATACACAGTAGCGTATTCTTGGCTGACGCTTCACTTGCTTTTTAAGTGGATGTGATGTGTGTGATGCCATAAAAGCAAATATTAAGCGCATGACATTTGCCAACGACCATACTACGCTGAATACATCGGTTCTCGTCCGATCACCGAAATTAAGCAGCGTCGGGCGCGGTTAGTACTTAGATGGGGGACCGCTTGGGAACACCGCGTGTTGTTGGCATCTATTTGGTGTTTCAACACTTTTTTTGTTAAATTATTTGTATTTTATAAAGCAAATGCTAAATAAAAGTATATTTCAGGTGCATATTACTTGGCTAGATATTGAATATTTTTCATCTCTTTTTAGTAAAGATTTGGTGGTCCTGAAAAGGACCGATTGGTATGACTGTACTTGTACATATTTGTATTTGGGATTTAGTTTTTAGCCGCCAAAACCGTATAGGGTACGGCCTTGTCTCTTCAGCGCATAGACAACATCCATGGCAGTGACCGTCTTCCTCTTGGCATGCTCGGTGTATGTGACCGCATCGCGGATAACGTTTTCCAAGAATACCTTTAGAACACCACGAGTTTCTTCATAAATGAGTCCTGAGATACGTTTCACACCACCACGACGAGCTAAACGACGAATAGCTGGCTTCGTGATGCCCTGGATGTTATCACGCAACACTTTGCGATGACGTTTAGCGCCGCCTTTACCCAAACCTTTGCCACCTTTACCACGACCAGTCATTTTTCACTTTTAATTCACACTTTACACCACGAATGCCAGAAACAAAGTAATGCTGCTTCGTCGCAAGCGCTTCTATTTATACCAAAAAGAGCAAACTCTTGAGCGAGTGCACAGATATTTCTATCCCGCTCACACACTACCCTCGCTTAACGAGCAGTTTTCTATATAAACGAGCAGCAAACCAGCGGACGATTATTGTGTTTTCAACAGTGAGAGTGTAAACAGTGTTATAGAAAGAGAAAAATGGCGCGTACTAAGCAGACTGCTCGTAAATCGACGGGAGGCAAGGCTCCTCGCAAACAGTTGGCAACTAAGGCAGCACGTAAAAGTGCTCCAGCAACCGGTGGTGTGAAGAAACCTCATCGCTATCGTCCCGGTACAGTTGCACTGCGTGAAATTCGTCGCTACCAGAAGAGCACAGAGTTGCTTATCCGCAAGCTGCCGTTCCAGCGTTTA